TATAAGATAATATGAGTCAGATGATACATAGTAAGATGATGCATGTTCAGAGGAATATATTAAATGTACAGATGATGCATGAAAGAAGAAATAAATATGAACTTTATTTTGACAATGGTTTTAATCCTAGGTGATTTCTAATGAAAATAAATTGTTCCTCAACTAGAGCCTTTGTAAAGATATCAGCCCATTGGTGATCAGTATCAATAAATTTTATGTCAAAAATTTATTTTTGGATATAATCATGAATGAAATAATATCTTATTTTTGAAAATGGTTCGAAGGAGTTGCTACTGATATTTTACACAAAACATCAGAAAAAGAAAATTGTTTTCACAAATTCGACTGGCCTTCACAGCCAAAGTCGGGTTAGGGGGTGGTGTAGTATTCTTCTTTTTATGTTCTAATTTGTTCCAATTACCACTTTATCGTTTCTTCTTAGAATTGTTCCATCAAATGTGTAGTGTTTGTATGATCCTTGATGCAACCTTACCTTATCTATTATCTTCTGCACTTTTTTTTATCTATTCTCCATGAGTCTTTGGCTTCCATTAGAAATTGAAATGTAACGTGGAAGATTGCAGCCAAAATACGTCCTTGTTGCTGTCTTGACAGTGAATCAACCACCACATTATCTTTGTCTTTCTTATATTCGATGTTGAAGTCTAGACCCAAAAGTTTCTTCAGTCCCTAATTCTGCATCAATGTTGTTGGAGGTTGCTCAAGTAAGTGTTTTAGTGCTTTCTGATCAGTCTTTATTATAAAATGTTGTCCAAGGAAATAATGCTGCCATTTCTTCACTGCAAATAGTATATCATAAAACTCCTTCTCATAAGCTGAAAGTAGTTAATACTTTGGACCCATGGCTTTGCTAATGTAGGTTATTGGATGGCCGTTTGGAGGAGCACGACACCAATGCCCACTCGTGAAGCATCTATTTCTATTGTGAAAGGTTGGCCAAACTCTGGTAAAGCCAATACAAGAGCTAATGTTAAAGCTTCTTTTAACCTAGAAAATGTTGTTTCTGTCTCATCATTCCATCTAAACTTAGTGTCTTTTTGCAGTAAATTTTTCAATGGTTGAGAAATATTTCCATAATTGTGTATAAACCTTCAGTAATAGCCTGATAGGCCCAAAAAACCTCTCAATTCCTTGACCATCATTGATCTTGGCCAGTGTTGAATGGCATGAATCTTACCCAGATCTGGCTGCACACCTTTAATGGAGATCAAATGTCCCAAGTACTCTATTTTTGTTTTTCCAAAGCTATATTTTTTGTAGTTAAGAACCAAACGGTGTTCTTGTAAGATTTGGAGGGCAGTGTGTAAGTAATGAATGTGATTTGACCATGTCTCTTTGTAGTCTAAAATATCATCAGATAAAAACACCAAAATGAACTTCCTGAGATTCTACCTAAGGATATCATTCATCAAGTTTTGGAATGTAGCTGGTGTATTGCTCAATCCAAAAGGTAAGACCACCCATTCATAGTGTCCACTATGAGTTCTGAAGGTTGTTTTATCAATATCTACCTTTACCATTCTTACTTGGTTATAGCCATTTCTTAGATCTAACTTGGAGAAATAGCTTGCACCATTTAATTCATCCAATATATCTTCTATCAAAGGCATAAGAAACCTATTTTTTATTGTCAAAGCATTTAGTTTTCTAAAATCAATGCAACATCTCCAAGAACCATTCTTTTTCTTCATTATCACCAATGGAGATGCATAACAGCTTCCACTTTCTCTAATAAAACCAGTTGTAAGTAGGGCATTAACCTGTCTTTCTATTTCTTCTTTTTTAGCATGTGGGTACCTTTATGGTTTTAAATAGAATGGTTTATTACTGACCAAAGAAATATGATGATTATACCACCTTTTTGGAGGTAGAGTTGTGGGCTCTTTGAATAGTTGTTGATAATTCTCTAATAGTTGAGTCAATTTGGATTGTTGGCTATGAGGCAATTTGTGAAGAGCTTCATCTGTTGAATCACTATAGCAAAATGGTCCTTATGGTCCTTAAAGTGATAGAAACATAACTTGACATTAAGTTACTTTAAATTTACCTATTAGTTCACAAATATCCTTTGAATGATGTTCACTGATCGATGCCGTACTCGGTCAAATAAATGCAATTAAAATGCAGTACTAGGAAGTGACTCCTAGGTCGTCTCCCAAGGACCAGTTCTTTCTGTCAAAGGATCAAACACGCAGTGGGGGGGTGTTTGAGAAGATTATCGAAATTTAAATAAAACACAGAGCAGATATGAATTAATTACAGTAATTAAAATAGGTCAGACCCTTAAACATAATGCACCTCTGATATCCTCGGTTCACGAAAGATAATATGTCCGAACTTAATCCTGTTCAATCCAGATTAACCAACTAAGTGAAGATTAACCTGAGACCTCACTACACGAATTAAGCAAACGTGAACCTTGTCACCTCCTTCCTCAGGATTAAGCAACCTGAGATACTGAACGCAGACAACCCAGACTCATTAAGCATGACCCAGATGTTGAACGCCTCAGAACAGAGACCTCACAAGGGAGAATCAAGCGAAACAGAAATGCAACGCATAGAGAACCTCCATCAGAGGGTTGCAATCTGCCAAGGGCCCAACCCTGGGGTTTTAGCCTTCCATTAAAACAAAAGCAGATACAGAAACAAAAATGCAAGGAGAGGAGAGCAAAACAAAAATGGATAATCTGTATTCTTCAAGGATTCAGATACAAAATGTAAAATGCATATAAGAGAAGAGAAGAGTAAAACGAAAATGGCAGCTAAAGAGAGCAAAACGTAAAAACCTAGCTACAAGAGAGAAAACGTAAAAAAACAAAGAGAAGAGAGACAAGTTACATGGTCACATCAGATACCCTTTTTGTGGCTGCCCTAAGACCCTAAAAAAAACCCTAAAAGAGTTAACATGGGCCCCCAAGTCAGGTTTGACCCGAAAATACAATAAAATAGAATACAAATTGAAATTAAATGCTGAGGGGGAAAATGGTGCAGCGGTGACATGGAAGATGACGTGGCAGCTTCTCTTGAAGTCCAAAAATTAATTCCAAGCCCAAATAATTATTAAAATGCCCTGAAAAAATTTGGAATAATTAGATTCAGAAAATTCAAATTTGTTAAAATATGAATTACCGGTCCAATTAAAGCCCAAATAGAAAATAGTGCAGAATATCAACAATTAAACACAAATTAGAGATTAAAATAAGTACAGAAAGGTAAGAAAATAAGGGAAAATAATGACTCATCAAATTCCCCCACACTTAGCCTTTTGCACTCCTGGGCAAAATCAAAAAGCAGAGCAAGGAACAATTCTAAAGACAGCAAAGAGAGTGACACAACAGGAAGAAACAGAAACAAGAATACACATAAGAAAACAAACAGATTTACACAATCCTCATTGAATCCTGGGAAAAGAAAAGGAGTAGACAACATTCAACACACAAAGAGTTAGAGAAACCAGATACTTATGGAAATCATCCAAGCATTTCAAAACATGGCAAGACAATCAATTAGCTCAAGAGGTGAATCAAAAGCAACTGAACCTCACAAGATGCACTGTATCATTGTATCTCTCAAGTGTCTAAGCAACTATATACTCTCAAAGCACTCATGAAAAACAAGCAACAGATAGACTTGGCAAGCCTATAAAATTAACACCCAACACACAAGCACATAAGGATCAAAAGGTCTTTTTAGTGTTGTAATGAGGCCAAGGACAGGGTAGAGGATAATATATGGGATAAGTAACTACAAACCAGATGAACCAGAGGAGCAATGGGGAATAAGTCAAGAATACGCACAAGAAACAAACCCATAAACCTCTAATGACCTCTATGATGATCAATCCTCTTTCTCTTGCCTCAAACAACTTCTCTTTTTCATTTTTTTTTTGTTTTTTGTTTTTTTTAGAGTAGTATGTAGTGAACAGTACACATGAAAATTTAAAATGAGATAAGATAACATGCGTAGAAGTAAAGTGTACAGCATAAGGAATCAACTAGCCAATATACATCATCCAATGAAACATACACACACCCCCACACTTATTCAAGAACTTATTCCCAAAACAATTGCAAATATCCAAAACTCCCTAAGGTTAAGGTAATCATGGTTTTTCGCTTAAGGCTTGTAATGAGCTTCAAACAAAGAAGGGGAAATAGGCTCAGCAGGGGTTATCATAGGAGTTAATTCAAGGTAGGCTAATTTGGCTAGAGGCTTATGAGAATCAAAATGCCTTAATCATATCCAAACATGCATGTGAATCAAGAAGTATCAAACAGAGTCAAGACAAGGCAACTGTGCAAGCAATCAAGAGGCATAACACACAAGAAAGAACAGAGAGTGGCTCAAATCCTCACACAGTGTATATCTGTCATAATTAAAACAACCTCTCAAACCTCAAAATCATCTTTCCAAGCAGAGAAAAGCAGGGATTTTAAACCATACAGTATCAAGAAACTCCTATCCAAGAATGAAGTAAGTGCCTACAAACTATAAAAACCCAAAAATCAAAGAGAAACATCCAAAACTGTACATAACAACTAAACATAAAACCTAAACCCAAAAATAACAAATAAACCTTAAAAGCATATAACCAAAACTGTTCCCCCACACTTAAATCACACATTGTTCCAATGTGGCACACACATAAGATCAGAGCAATCAGAACAATCAACAGAATTGGATATGTGTAATAAAAGCAAGGAAGGAGAAGGGGAAAGAAAACTCCATAAGTCATGGAAGTGGGAGAGAAGCAGGGTCAAGCAGAGATATCTCCTCTACAACAACATCCAACAAAGATGGATTGCTGAGGAATGGCTTTAGCCGGTGCCCATTGACTTTAAAGCTCTTATCTGTGGATTCACTTTTGATCTCAACTGTACCATAAGGATAAACATTAGTAACAACAAAAGGTCCAATCCACTTTGATCGTAACTTACCACCCATGAGTTCGAGCTGAGAATTGTACAACAGAACTTTCTAGCCAACCACGAAGTCCTTCCTAGCTATCAAGCTGTCATGGAACTTCTTGGTTTTCTCCTTGTAGAATTTTGAATTCTCGTAGGCTTCCAAGCGGATCTCATCAAGCTCATTTAGTTGCAACCTCCTTTCCTCACCAGCCTGATCAATGGAGAAGTTGCAGGTCTTCACAGCCCAGTAAGCCCGATGCTCAATCTCAATAGGTAAATGACATGCCTTGCCAAAGACAACCCGATAAGGAGACATCCATGTGGGTGCTTTGTAGGCAGTCCTATGCGCCCAAAGAGCATCATCCAATCTGTTACTCCAATCTTTTCTGTTGGGCTGGACAATCTTCTCTAAGATTCTCTTGATCTCCCTGTTTGAAATTTCAGCTTGCCCATTAGTTTGGGGGTGGTAGGGTGTAGAAATTCTAAGCACTACCCCATACTTCTTGAGCAAAGCCTGCATAGATCTTGATGGAAGAGCATGGACCAAGGTTCCAACCACTAGAGCTATGGCCAGGAGATTACTAGAAGACATGACTGCTTTAGAGCTTAGTGGGCCCAATGGGCTTGGTGGGCCTAGGGTGCTTCTCACTTGGGCTTTACTTGTTTGACACCATGTTTTATTGCAAATTCATAGAATAGGAATTTACTTTGTTTTGGTCTTGTATTTTGACCATAGATTAGGGTTTGTGAACTTTTGGGCTTGTAATTGGGCTTCATGGGCTTTTGGGCTTTTGATACCCAATATTGGGCTCATTTTCTTTCTTGTAATTTTTCCTATTCATTGTATTTCATTGACCATTGTATTTAGGTCATTAGTATAGGAATTAGGAGGGAAAACTTGTTTAATAGGATTAGTTCAAACTAGGTTTAATTTAGCTTGCATTTAAATTGCATTTTGAGTCACATGGATGGCGCCACCTTGGCTGAACATGTGTGACTCAAATTCAACCCTAAATGCAAATTAAATCAAACCTAAATTCACTTAGCATCCTTGTGAACCGGTGACACACATGTGAGTTAAGATTTGAATTCAAAATTCAAATTTGAATTCAAATCTTGGGGCCACATGTGAAACCTTCACATTGGCGCCAAGTGACTCCTATTTCCGGTCCTATAAATGTTTTCCTCCAAGCACCTTGTATTTACTTTTTGAATGAAATAGAATTTTCTAAAATAAAACTTCAGCCAATTCTCTCAAAGAGTCACCGACAGTGCCTTCACCTTTTAGGAATCCGACCTAGGTTTTCCTACCTTTTGAAGTGAGCATTCCTTTGTTCCTTAAGCTTGGATGCTTCCATCCATAGTTTAGGTAACCTTAGTCCGAAAACAACCTTCCTTCAAGTATCCTTCAATCCGGTTTTACATCTCCAAATAAGAGGTCCAAGCATAGGCGAATCCAAGGAGGAGTACATCCATCACTTCTCCTAGTTTCTCCATCAATTTTGGTATCAAGAGCAACGTTCTTCATTGGAGATAAGTGTTCTTGAGTTTGGACCGTTTATTATTGTGTTTTTGGTGTTCTTGTTTGTCATTGTTTGAGTTTCTTTCGGATCTATAATTTTTTTGAAAATATTTTTATCCATAGATCCAATTGTTGATTGTATTTTGAGTTTTTTCCACAATCAACACACTTAGGTCCTATTTGCTTGTGCGTTTTTGTATTTGCTTGAGTTTTCTCCATTCCTTAGCATGTGTCCGTGATTGGACTTCATTCACATTGCATTAGTTTTATTTTTGAATCCTGTTTTGTCTTAGAAAGTTATGTGTAGTTCTTTGTATGTTGATAATTCCTAGAATAGCTTGTTTAGCCTAATTTTTTTTGTGTTGTTGTGTCTACTATTGGTCACGGGTTTTGCTTATATTCTTTGTGCCTACTTATATGTGCTTTTGCTTTACATATTTGAGTTCATATTCATCATTAGATCATTTATGAATTCTTAGTGTTAGGTTTCCTTTGTGTACTTAAGTTTTCAAATCACTTTCCATAATATTCTTGAAACAACTTTGTGTAACTTGAAATTTTAAGTGATTCATCTTACTTCTAGTGCACTATTTGTTTTGGATTCAAATTTTAAAAGTTTGGTGGCTGGAAAACAGAGAAAATATAGAGCATTATCATTCAAAATAGTTAAAAAAAAAGGAACAAAAGAAACCAATCTAAAGCTTAAAACTAGTGCACTAGTTCATCAATTTTCACTTGAAATTTTTCATTCTAGTAGATCCGGTTTCTATACTTTGGAATTGTGAAAATTTTGAAATCAAAAGGAAAGTATCTTCTCTGGAATATACATTTGAATTCAGAAAAAGAAAAGAATAAAAAAAAATATAAAGCAAATATAGAATCAAAAGCCGAGAAGAACAATTAAGAAAATACACTTGAATTCCATATAATTTTGGACTACTAGTTTGTTTGTACTTGTTCAATTTCTTTCAAATCTTTTTAGTTTTGTTAATCTACTCTAGTGCCTATCTAGGAACCTTTCTAATTGTGTGCTAGATTTCTTTGGAGTCTTATTTTTCAGATTTCATTTTTGGCTATCTTTGATTCTTGTCTTAAACACTTTACTCTTCAATTTTTGGTATAA